TGCTTCATCTTGTACTATTATTTCATTTTTGTACTTTTTTTAAGCAGGGTTGCCAGATGGTCATTTTTCCGGACAAATTACGTGATTTAGTTTATCTCAATTGCGTTGGCCGGCTAAAATTTATGATAGGGGTACTTCTTAATTAAATTTTAAATACTGCAAAGAGAAAATAAATGGAATTTTTATAGCGGAACCTACAAATAAAATAGTATACATTGAATTATCAGCCTTTTTTGGCCTTTTTTGTTCTCGGATTTGGCCGATTTTAGGCAACCTGAATTATGTACCGCTAAGCCCTGGAGAAATACATTTCGTGGTACGCATATGTACCAATACGTAGTCAACGTGTTAAAATTTCCCAGAATTTATAGCCACTTATCAATCAATTATTGATTGATAAGTCATCAATTACAGACAAATCAATTATTGATGTGGCGTAAACCTTGGCTTACCATCCTACATTTATACAGAGCTAGGCAGCGCTACTTTAAAATGTAGCGGCCGCTACCGCTACATGCTCTAAAAATAGTGGGCGCTACCACTACAATTGCTTTAATGTAGCACAGCTACCGCTACTGAAAATGTAGCACGCTACTGCCCACCTCTGCGTTTATATAATAACTTGAGACATATATTTTTACTATTCTGATTGGAGCTCGGCAATTGAAATGATTTTTGCTACGAATACATGTTGTGGTTTAATATATGGTACTGTAGCTGGTGACATTGGCTGACTGGACAGACATTGATTTGCCTCCAGCTCAATCACAGAATCAGATTCATTGATCTTGCCTTAAGCAATCTCCTTCTACAAAAAGTTTGGAAAGAAATATCAACATTTTAAAAACAACAAAATTTAAGTTGGAAAAAATATAATAGTTTGATCTTCAAAAAGAACTCTAAATATCCATGTGTATCCGATTTCAATAATAAGTCTGTCTGGCAAATAGACTTTTTAGGACTGTGGCAGTCCCACAAATCAGAGACCCGCAAGTCGCATCCTTTCTAAATAACATTAAACAAGCCCAAGTGTTTGATAACAATTCAGGAAACTGCTCAATTGTGAAGATTTCCTGGAGGCGTGGCACAAAATTTCACTAAAGGCAAAGATAATCTAATACTAGCTTTATTATTATTAGGAATTACCAGGACTCCACTGAGTCCACTCCACTGTCTACTAATTGGCCAACTAATCTAGACATTGCATCCCTACTCCCTATGTGCTCCACAGCGCCTGAACTCCTTTTGAACGCATAATAAACTTGACTCATATTCGTGCAGTTCCCATAAGTACCATCAAAGCCGTAGTTAAAACTTGAGCGTAACATTTTTGACTCAATACTCGGCCATGCATACATCGACAGGTTTGCTGTGTTTGTCGGACCACTAATTAACTGCCATGTCAGTTAGTCAGACAAATTTGCTAAATCTGCAATTAACTCAATTTAACTGGCAACTGTCTATGGCCCTATTAGCAATAAAGGGCAAACTTGTCATTCTTCAACCCATGTTTTCGAAATGATTTGTATCAGCTTCAAACTCTTCAAAATTAAGTTTTATTTCAGGTATCCTGGATTTCTCCGTTCTCAGGGGAAATTTGGGATGCTTTTATTTTGCATCTGGCACTTTACAAATAGCATATGGAATTCTTTCAGAGATGCCATACAATAGCCCTTGTGCAGGATATCCTAGTGAGAGTGTGGTATTGACCTGCAAAAGTTTGAAATTTCATGAAATGACATGTTTGCAAACTGGAATGTTTCTAAAAAAAATGCATGACAAGCTACAAGATTTTGTGCATACAAATTATACTTTGGAGATATTTTAAAATATGATGCTCAAACTACATTAACCTAGAAGACTCAATACTAATGACATATATTTAATATTTGTTTATGACCAGCATATGTTTATGACCAGCATTTGATATCCATAGGCATGATATCAAATGCTGGTCTTGCAAAAGTTGTTATAATTTGGGGCTCTTTGTCCATAGTGCTGTAGAGGCTGTGGGAGCTGGAATTGATTAAATCAGATAAAACGTTTAGCATNGTGGCAGCAAAGTAAAACCTGAAGGTAAGGAAAATGCCGTGTGCCATACTAATCAACTGATATTATTCAGGGGATGAACTGAAGTTATGTCAATTTATTTTACTACATTTTTATCTGTTTTTTTAGGATTGGTCATGACATTGAAAATTTGACATTGTGTGGTAATATGCCACCTTATGAGGCTTGTTCATTTAGTGATGTAAGCTTTTTTTGTCTAAAGCTCACATGACTCACTAATTTGGCAAGCACTATATTTACTCTGAGAGATCTTGCTCCATAGCCCAGCGGTACAAGTACATCAATGTACATATTTTCCAGCCTTGGAAAATGCTGACCTGCCGCCAGTCCCCCAAATTCCTGCTATCTCTATCAAGGAGGCACCTGAGGATGAAATTGAAGAAGTATCAGTCAAAGAAGAACCATTCTTATATGGAAATGAGGTAGGAGTTGTTATGCAAATAAATGTTTAGCACAGGATTTGAAATTTATGCATAGATTTTAATGGGCAAAAGGGCAAAAAGGCTATGTCTGTTATCAAATCTTCAAGTTAAGCATCAGTACATAATAAAGCACTATTATTAAGTATAAGTATCAAGCAATATTATCAAGTCCCAGTATTAAGTTTGTTACATTAGACAATAATAATGAGGTATGAAGCATCCTCATCTTGATTCAGTAATTGGTTAGATGTCATGGGCCAATTTGATCCAACATAAACTTGCTAAAAGTGTGCACTTGCTGCTTAAATTGTCATTTTTAATTAAATATTCATTTTAATTTGAAAACAAGCAAGTAAATTTATGCATTATGAAGCATTGATATGAGATGATATTTTATCACCAGTAATTTGTGATGCTAATGCAGTCATGTGCTGTTCAGAAATTATAACCAACTGAAAATTCTATGAGGAGTTTTTTTACTATATCCTTTCTCTTAAAATGCACACATCACTGCCAGCCACATCAACATTGTCCTCCACATCCCCCAGGCTTGTTCAACTGCACATCTCAGCCCTGCACCTGAAATTGTCATTTTTAATTAAATATCCATTTTAATTTGAAAACANAAAGTTTTGTTCATTGATGGTATTAGAAAATAAATTTCCCAATAACTACTTTGTGATAAGTAATTCGAGCAACTTTATAAGTAATGGTGGTGATACTGGGAACAGATGCTGTTTTCCCTGTGCAATTTAATTCTACAGGTTAAATATATTTTTTTCAACTCGAGATATTTGTGGCCATGCCAGTTATTCCTCCTAAGATTGGATCAATATTGCAAAAAAAGCTTGTTCCTGGATGAAGAAATGTGCTTGAACCTGTTACATTAAACATAATACCTCACTATTCTTATGTATCAGAGAACACGTCCAAGGAAGGATGAAATTGGTGATAATCAACGCCATGCAACATATAACGCAGAGGGATTGCTTGGGTTCCTAAAGATACTTTTTTATAATAAAGTTGTTCATGGTCTGCCAGGAGAGTTGATGGTGGTACAAATTGTTGCAGACTTTAGTGCCATAAGTATTAGGTATCCATCCTTAGGACAAGTCCAAGTATGACATCTCAATTCTAGATAAGATCAAATTGAAATGTATTGTACTTTGGTAAGGCCTGAGAAGCCCAAAAAGTGAGACTGACAATCCAATCCTACACCATACAACTGTTCAAAAAACTGCTGAAATATAAAAACAAAGTTCTTATAACAGAATTACAGTTAAAGAACCTGAATACAGCACTAGAGATGGCAACCACTGAGCCACCATCACCTGGTCAAGCGATGCAATGGCTTGGTACGTCAATGCCAGTCTCCCTGGTCCCTGATTGTATGGTAGCCATCAGAGACATTCCTTCTAAAGCATTATAATTCAAGAGCTAGAAGTGATCCCTCAGAAAATTGCTTTTTCAACATCATATCATTAGAAATATTTGAAAAAATATGAGGAATTACACAACTCTCTCTAAAGTTCATTCTTTCGTCCAATGGACAACCTGCTGGTCCAGTACAAAAGGAATGTAAAATTGTAGCAGTGTTCTACTCTTGAAGCACTTCTAAAATAGGTTGTTCTAGATCTCAAATCTGTTCAATCTGAGAAAGATTTAATAAAGGTGGCTGTGACTCAACGACTCGAGAAAATTGGATGTGGGCACCATCAAGAGGTTTATTTCTTGCTTATTTCATTTATTGATCGCGCTCCCAGGGGCATTGTTCCTGAGCGCCCCACTGAGAAGTGGAGAGTCTTACTGAATACGAGTTAGGCGCCAGTCCTGTCTTACTGAATACTAGTTAGGGGCCGGTCCTGTCTTACTAAATAGGAGTTAGGGGCCGGTCCTGTCTTACTAAATACCAGTCTCCTGTCTTACTAAATACGAGTTTCCTGTCTTACTAAATACGAGTCTCCTGTCTTACTAAATACGAGTCTCCTGTCTTACTAAATACGAGTCTCCTGTCTTACTAAATACGAGTCTCCTGTCTTACTAAATACAAGTCTCCTGTCTTACTAAATACGAGTCTCCTGTCTTGCTAAATACGAGTCTCCTGTCTTGCTAAATACGAGTCTCCTGTCTTACTAAATACGAGTCTCCTGTCTTACTAAATACGAGTTCAAATTTGATTTAATTTAATTTTTTCACCCCATTTAATTTTTTTAATTTATGTCACGATTTTAAATTTGTATTGTAACAAATATGGCATTTTACTGAGAATCAAACTTGAAAGGCAGTGAGTTAACTGTGGCTGTTATTAAAATATGAGACTGTTTTACTATGTTTTTTTTATCATTCGCTTGGTGCCTACCTTCCTCCTGTGGAGGGCATGGGTCCATCGGACCACAATAAACTGAGCCACTTAAAAACTTAAAACAGCCACAGTAAACTGAGAATCAGTTAACTGTGGCTGTTACTAAGATATGAGACTTTTTACTATGTATTTTTATCATTAGCTTGGAGCCCACCTCGCTCCTGTGGAGGGCATGGGTCCCTCGGATAGCAGACCTGCCAACGTTGAAACTAAGACCGCAGCGCAGCGCAAGATCAGACGTCAGCGAGGACTGCCCTACACCAACAGGAAGCAGCAAGAGGTCGCTCCTCCGCAGTTCAAGTTCATAACGTGCAAGTGTAACAACGATTGCCACGATCTTTCCCTTGAGATGCGTCGGCAGGTTTTTGACAACTTTTGGCAACTAGGAAGCTGGAACGCTCAGTCTTCATTTCTGCGGTCTACAATGACGGAGGTATTTATTCATTTATTTATAAATTTATTTGCGTATGTGTACTATATGTCTGAATCATAATGTATATGTCTAAACTATATGTCTGAATCAAACTATAGCTATAGTTTGCAGTAAGCTCTCTTTGTTTGATTGTAGGTACAATTTCTTCCAATGGAGTATGTTCATTTGAGTTGATTGAATTACTCTATTCCAAAATGGACAAAAATATTATCACAATAATAATTGTAATCATAGGCCAGTAAGAAATTCTTCAGGACCTTCTTTTATATCACGGGTACTTTACTTTGATCTCTGTTTGTTAATGTTTACTAATTATGTAAGAATATTATTGCGGGAAAATTAAAATCTGCACACAGAAAGCTCCCAATGTCTTGCAGCCAGTGGGACCGTTTTTTCACCGTTTTTTCTAACAGTGCTCCACCGCTCTCATAGATCAAAACTCTGACATATCAACTTCAGAAAATAGGCTTCAAACGCCAAAATTGAGGCCCTCGCGGAGAATATTTTGAAAGAGATGGGAGTAGAAATTTCTCGCATTAATATTAGTAACTAAATCAAGCTCAATCGTATTGAGGTATGATTTTTTGGTGCGTGTCTGTAAAATGTTGAATTGTATTGGAATGGCTTAAGCATATCAACTGTCTTGAATTCATCAGCTGCGCGTTGCGCCTACAGAGCACAAAATATGAGAAATGCCTTGGAGTAATAGAACCTAAATTGATAATTTATTCTTGTTTTGCCCTCAGAATTTAATTTTTGCATATTTCTATCTCTGACCGCCCAGATGTAAATTTGTTAGGAATTTATTGCACTAAATGACATGCAGTTGCAGTTAAGATGAATACTGACACATTTAGGTGTTTTATTATACAAATTTTGAGAATCTGGGCTTCATAATAAAATATTGGCCACTTGAACAGAACATCTCTTGTTCATAATTATCCATTAATCCGCTAGATTATACGATTGTGCATAGCACCAGCCAGTAGTAGTAGTTATGAGTAGATAAGATAATATAAGACAGTAGTATAGTAGTGATGAGTAGATAAGAAAATATAAGACAGTAGTAACAGTATCACCCTTGACCACAGCCTCATTATGTTGTACAGAAGCCACTTATGGTCATGTCGATCTCGATTGATTGTCATCAATTATTTTATCCACTATTTTGTATTATTTACAGGTTGAGGTCAAGGATCACAGGGACACGCCGAACACTCGGCAACGCTCAACTGTTGTGAAATATTCGCTGATGAACGGCATGCGCGTGTGCAAGAAAGTCCTGGCCTCTTCTTTAGGCATCAGTCCAATGCGCTTGGATTACATTAGAGTGAAGAAAACCCTTGCGTCCGGCATGATATCTCCGGATAAAAGAGGGAAGAAGAACCCTGCCAACAAAACACATCCAGAAGTTATTTCATCTATTAATGTCTTCCTAGATAAAATTCCAAAGTACTCATCTCAGTACTCCAATAAAAACAGGAGTTATTTCCATCCAGAACTAACTAAGAAGAAACTGCACGAATTATTCTGCAACGAGAACCCTGGTAAAACTGTGGGCTATGGAACCTTTGCTAAAATCTTCCGCGCATATGAAGTGCCCATTTATAAGCCTCTGAAGGACACGTGTGCCAAGTGTGAGCTTATGAATACCAAGGGAAAATCTCTTCTTGCCAAGGATGAGAGAGATACTCTAGAGGAGGAAGACGCTAAACATCAACAAAGCGCGGACGCTGCCAGGGCTGAACTAAAGATGGCTGAGAGTGAAGCACGAGCTGACAGCGACGTGTTGACCATATCTTTTGCTACGCATAAAACTCAGCCAATACCACACATCAACACCTCTGTTGCGTTTTACAAACGCAGGTTGTGGCTGTACAATTTAGGCATCAACAATAGAAAAGACAACACCACAACCATGTGCATCTGGACAGAACCTGAAGGCAAACGAGGGAGCAACGAAGTGGCGTCGGCACTAACTGAATTCTTGCACGCTGAGAATGTCGGCAAATACAGGCATATACGCTCTTTTTCTGACGGATGCGAAGGCCTAAATAAGAATGAAACGATGATTTCGTTTTTCTTCCACATTTGTAGAACAACTCTAGTGCAAAGCTGGACCCATGTTTTTCTTGAGCCAGGCCACACTTACCTACCAAACGATACGGACTTTGTAAAAATTGAACGCAAGAAAAACGCGAGGCACGCTGTCTATAACTTCGAACAATGGCATGAATTAATTAATGAGTGTAAATTTAAGGTAATCCACATGAAAGGCAAATTCCTTGACGTTTCTCAACTGACTGCTAATCATGAATTTAGGCATACAGACACCCAAGGCAACAACTTCAGTTGGTCGGCTATGAAGTGGCTGAGAGTAACGGAGGGATCCAGCGTAATGGAATACAAAACATCTTGCCGCCCAGAAGAGCCCGTTAAGAAAATAGACTTCACGCGTTCTGGAGTTATCTTTTAGGACGAACTGGATTCCTTGTACCCTGATCCACTTAAAATCTCTCACGAGAAGTACGAGGACATAATGAGCCTGTCCGATTACATCCCGAACTGCTTTTCTGCTTATTTCAAAGATATACCGCATGAGGGAGAGCCTTCTCTTCAATATGAAGAGCTTCCTGATGAATTTTCTGTTTGTTCTTCCAATTAATGCGTGTTCTACAGACCTTTCGTCAACATCTTACTGAAATTTAATAAGGTTTGCAACATTCCAAAGTTAGTATTGGACGGAGTCATTTCTATCTATATTCGTGTTGTTGCCCATTCCGTTGCATTTGTAGCTGCTAGATGGTGGGATAGCAATATTATTTCAGTTATTAAAAAGTATTATCTTGTATAAAAGGTTAAATCTCAATTTTGCGGCTGTAATAAGGATATGAATAATGCCACGTTTTCCTTGTCACGTAAGTTGAATTTTTGTACATTACTTCGCAAAGTCTATTAATCAATAATATTTCATATTAGCTATCCTTATTTGCAATGGCCCAGAATCATTTGACTCCCACTGTAAGATGATGAATTATGAGGTCATTGTTAAATGCTAGCAATTTTAATCCTACAAGTGCAGCAGTTAATTTATGTTAATGGTTGGCCGTGTTTGCTTTTGTTTAACCCATGATCGTGATGTAGCGGCCCGACTTCCTGTAAAATGTCGGTCGGCGCACTTTTTTTTCTTTCTTCTGCATTTACTCGCAGCTGACGTTGAATTTGAGCCAGCAACTCAGGCACCCGCGTCCTCTCCCCTCCATCCCTCGGCCGTTTCCATAAGGTTAGGCGAAGACCAAGACGGACCGGCTGCTGTGGCTACAATCAAAATTACGCTTATGCTAGATAGAATACTACGTGCAGCCAGTCAAGCAAGTGGCACGCCACAAAAGAATAACGAGCACACTCAGTAGAAAGACGTGTCAATAATAAAATCGCCGCGTCAGCAAAAACGAGACGAGAGAATGGGAGCAACGCACGTGCAAGGCAACAGAGCAAACAACAAGCAATCGAAGAGCTCTTAGGCACCACACAACCTGCTCTCGTGGATGCTCAGTTAACACTGAGTTATTTAAATCTGAGTTATTTATCTGAGTTAAGGCTATAGTATAAGTTCATCGTTAAGTACTAGCAATTTTATTTCTAAAGTGCAGCAGTTAGTTTATGTTACAGTTTGACCGTGTTTGCTTTTTTTAACCTATGAACGTGATGTAGCGGCCCGACTTCCTGTAAAATGTCGGTCGGCGCACTTTTTTTTTCTTTCTTGTGCATTACTCGCAGCTGGCGTTGAATTTGAGCCTTGATTATTATGAGCCTTTTCTTTTCGGCGCATTACACGGCGCTGACGTTGAATGTGAGTTTTGATCATCTCCTTGTCGATTGAGCCACCAGACTGAACGTGCATGACTGGACGCAGCCACAGTGGAGCGGTCTGCGAAGGCAAGCCCCTAGGCAGGCAGAAAGGCAAGCCTGCGTGAGGTGGTCTGTGCAGGCAAGCCCCTAGACCTGCCTGCTGTTGTCCGTCGCCAAGTTCTTCCTGATGTCTTGTTTGATTACTCGCCCCCGTCGACGGCCGTGGACTGATGCGGTGACCGGACGGTCGGCCTAGAGAAACAGCCTCAAAGATTCACTGGAATTATTATAAAAAATATATTATTCTTGATAAGTGAAATAATATTTTAATTGTTGCTGTTTCCGGCGCTGTAACTCACTTGGACTCCGTCATCAAGTTGAATGTTATCGCACTAATCTTCGAACTGCATGAAAGGAAGCTGACACTTGATGAGGAAGGTCGGATAAAAAAAAGTCCCGGTTTTCGTTCCGCAATGTTTGCGCACCTACGCTATGTGACCGTATTTGTGACTTAGTTTATCTTCTTATGTGATTACCTTTCAGCTGTAAAATGGAGTGACTACGGGTGAGAAGATTTATTTTTCTGTTATTTTGTTTATTTTGGAATTTCCCGTGTCATTACTAGCGAGATTAGTTGAATAGATTCTTCATGGTATTAATTTGTTCATATTTCATGTGTTCATTAAAGTATGGACATGCATTCCGTTTCCTGCTTGTCATCCTTTTGTCTACAGTGAACATTCATTTAGTTACGATTATCAGGTAACGTGTTGCGTTCCCCGCAACAGTGACACGAAATTTAGCAACATATTGGAGACTCCAATGAAATGAATTTCATTTAACTAAGAACATTCTGACAGAGAACAGGCTGGTGGGCGCATTTGTCGCCACAAGTCTTAACCCCAACTATATAAAAAAAAAATTTAACTAAGAGCTCATCAGCTTGTCATGCGTCACTTGGATGACTACGGGACGCACGAAAGAATTTATAATACAGCTAAGCTAAAGACAGCCATTCATAGTTATTTACTCCCTTGTCAATTCTATCTTTTGAAGGCTATTCCGATCACTCAAATCAATTATAAATGTTTTGGTATTTCTTTTCATTGATTTAAATAAAGAATAAGACTAGCAGGCCGTTAAGCGAATAAAGATTTTAAGAACAAACCCCTTCACTTACTGAAAAGTACGTATTTTTTGGTCGGACTTGGTGATGAAGTGAACAGAAGATCAGCCACGATCAGTCTCGAAAAAAAATTTGTCCCGAGAAAACTATACTTTTCGAAAACTGTGGTGAGTGGGGGGATTAACCGAGTTTTGATTCGAATAATTTTATATAACGGATAAACGAAACGAGTTTTGATTCGAATAATGTTATTTAAGGGATGAATGAAACTGCGAAAAGGACGGACAGCGAGGACAACGGCTCAAGCTCGTTGGTGGCGGTCCCTCGACCCTCCGCCACCTGCGGTTCCGGTAGCGGAGAGCTGAAGCGCAGCTGTCAAGTGATAAACCTGGTCAGACAATATAATAATAATATAGCGGTTTCAGCGTTTATGAGGCTGAAGGCCTGTTACCGATTCTTAACATCGCAGAACATCCACTGTTTGTTGCGGGCTTGAACTCTCAACTCATTGATTCGATTTTTTTTTGCTTAACCGCCCGACCTCCTCGCCGATTTTGACCAGAAACTGGGGCACAGAGCTGGGATCGAACCCGCGCCTCTCTGCACCAATCTTGGTACTCTGAACTGTAACCATTGGAGGCAACTTAAATGACACGGCAACTTAATGCAAGGCAACTTAAATGACACGATGATTTTAAACCCGACTAATAAAACTTGTTTGTGTCAGAAAATATAATTAGGTAATAACACAGGTACATGGGGTCATGGTAAATGACAACAGTTCAGGCGAAAAAAATTTCTACTCGAGGTAATATTAAAAGGTAATAAACTTAGTGCTAGCACTGTTTGGTAAGACTTTAGGTGCTTTTGGTAAGACTTTTAGTGCTCAAGAACTTTGACTAGTTTGTTAAACTTTAAGGTAACAGTATAAGTACCTAAGGTAATAGCTACTTGGTAAAACGACAGTCAGGTAATGGTAAGAATGGTAATAGTAACGACTATTTCGGTAATGGTAATAATCATTTGGGAATCTGGAGTTTTCATACTTCAATGCCTCCGGGAAAAACAAGGTTCTTAAGGAGCAAGTGGAGGACCTAGTACTCGAGTGGACGCTAAGGGTCGCAAAGTAGTGCGCGACAATCACCGGCCACCTCCTCAGACGACCATCGGATATTAGCCGTGTCAGACTTCCCGTAATCCTTTAGGCGTAGACGTCCCGTAGGCCTAGGTCTAGACCTCCAAAACGGTGGCGCCGAAGGTAGCAGCGTATCCGGCCCACGCCATCCTGCCGCCGGTCACTCCATCGAATTCCCTATCTCCTCATAGGGATGTGCTTGAAAATGTGTAACCCACAACTCACTGCTACAATTCTGCTTTGCTTAACCGCCCGGCCTCCTTGCCGATTCTGACCAGAAACTGGCGCACAGAGCTGGGATCGAACCCGCGCCAATCATAACATAACATAAAATAGTGATGTTGGCGCTGAAGAGTAGGCCTGATGATGTAGCGGGTAGCCTGTTGCCGAATCATGGTAATCTGAACTTGTGACGCTGTGGCTAGGCAGATGGTTTTCATTCTGAATATCGAAATGATTAGTCTGAAGTTGGTAACGGTTGCCACGATTGAGATATTTAATAGTTATTGAAATTGAGGTCTCGGGTTCCAAATACCCAAATTTATTTCAATCAAAATTAAACAATGAATATTGTCTCAAACTACACGAATTTAACTTTGGATTTATCGTTGAGGAAAATAGGCTGCTAAGAGTTCTAAGAGTTCTATCTGGAAAAGAGTTCTACCTACATATTTAAATCTCACGCATTAAGGCGTATTTTCAACAACACTTTGTCACGAAAAAGCCTTACTTGGTCTCGATAAGGCCACAGTTTGTCTCGAAAAAACACACTATGACTCGAAAAACCAACAATCTCGAAAAAAAAACACATTTTGTCGCGAAGAAGCCTCACTTTGTTTCGATATAGTTACAATTTCTATCGAAAACGCCTCACCGTGCCCCGAATAAGACACAATATGTCTCGAAAAAGCAAATTTCTCTTGCTCCGAAAATACTTTCAGCTTTAAAAAAATTTTTTTAAACACAAATTCAATTAATGCATTAATTTTGAGAAATATGTTTGAAGGAGAAATATGTTTGCTGAAGGATGAAATATGTTTGTGGCTGCATTTTAAACTTGGTAGCAAAGGAAGCTAGCTTTGAATGCTCAGACTATAGGAAAAACGTGTAACGTTTAGTAGGCTTTGCTTCCATCATTATTCACGTGTTTCATTATATTATTTGCAACTTAGTGACTATCTCTTAATTACTTCTTCTGTCCGGTCAGGATGAAAAAAATAAATGAAATTTACAGTACTTCATGTGGGGCGTGCTGCAAATCGGGCTAAGAGAGGCACTGTAGGTCGGGCCTAGAGACGTACCGGTACTGTGTGTCTGGCTAAGAGACGTACCGGTACTGTAAGTCTGGCTAAGAGCTAAGAGACGCACCGGTACTGTAATTCTGGCTAAGAGACGTACCGGTACTGTAAGTCTGGCTAAGCGACGTACCGGTACTGCAAGTCGGGCTTAGAGACGTACTGTAAGTCTGGCTTAGAGACGTACTGTAAGTCTGGCTTAGAGACGTACTGTAAGTCGGGCTTTGAGGCGTACCGGTAATGTAAATCTGGCTTAGAGACGTACTGTAAGTCGGACTTGGAGACGTC